CTCTTTTGTCGAGATGAACTCCAACAAACTACTGTAGGACATCTGCAAACTGGCCTTTGATGAGCAATTTGAGCAATCTGCACTCAGTCTGCATTACCTCCAAATCACGCCCATTCTTCAGCAAAATGGTTTTATACCATTTTACTAGAGTGTCAATCTCATCCTCTCCGTAGGTGATGAGGTCATCAGGCAATGAATCATGACAGAAGACAGAGATACACAGAATGATCTCTGCCCCTCCTGAGCTACCTTGCTGTTCATCACCTCATAATTCCAAATCTCATTCCAAATTTAGTTCTGTGACTTGTTACTTCCACTGTTTTTTCAACCTGTTGGTTAAGGTCATCTCTGAAGCTTGTATAACTCTAAAAGCCCTTGAGCTTGATGCTTTAAAACGTAATGCAACTGTAGCTACCACCCACTGTTTTGCCATGCCTTCGTCATGACTATTTAAGCCATATAGCCTAGGTAGAGACTGTATTAAGAGCTCAATTGGGGCTTGAAAACATTTTTTTTTCTAGTGGTAGATACATTATAAATGCTTGCATTATTGGTTTGAAATATGTTAAAATAATTTCCGCTATATTCGTAAAAGTGGATTTTGTTGTGTATTTTGAAATATTGAATGTTTCATCACAGTAATGAGACTAAATAATCTCAAAATTAATGTACTACTGAAAATTCTGGTTTTGCCTGTTTTAATGTAATCAACAGTAAGGTAATCTAATTTTAAAGAAAGCTTTTATAGAAATATCCTATGAGGTAGTTTAGAAAAAAATAAGTTAATAAAAATATTGATATCAGTAAATCAGTGTATTTTTAAGCAGTGTATTTTTATTGCAGTACTGCATTTAATTACATTTAAAATCTATTTCATAAAGTCCTTTTATTGTGGCCATGAGACACACTTTTACCAACTGTCACACTAAAATGTATGTAAGAACCACAATACGTAATGATCCAAAACAAATGAAATGCTTACTGGATGCCAGAAAAGGAAAACCATCTCGTTATTTCTTTTACTGTAAAAAAATCTATAGAAAAAGAAATGAAAAAATGCATTCAACTAGTATTTTGGAAACTTGAGATCAGGTATAAAACTCTTTAAATTTGTAGTTTCTAGTTTTTTTTACACTGATTGGACTGGATTCTGAATTATAATTAACAGCTTGACAGGTTTTCTAAATATTATTTTAATGGATAGTGCAAATTCATACTTTGACCCTATATGTTACACTTAATCATGTAATAAAATATTTACTTCTTAAGGCACTTGTGAGGGAATTTTTAAAACATAATGTCAGTGTTAATTACAATATCAAAAAATTACATTTTTCTCTGTTGAAATGGTGGAAAGCTGTCTGATTCTAACAAGATTTAAAACAGAACTGATCTGTTAAATACCAAATGTGTAATACAATTTGTTACAATGTGTTATACAAATACAACGTTTTTGCTTTAAAATAATGATATCTTGCAGACGATTTACATTATGTATTGCCGCAGCAAGCCAGAAAAAGAAAATAGATTTTATAAATAGTTGTAAGAATAATTGTTTGTCTTTTGTGGGTGAGAAGTTCAGCAAGCTTACACCTGTACGCTGTATATGCTATTGGCCCAAGTATTTGGGTCAGGGCTGAAAATATAGTACAGGTATCAGCCTACAGGAATCCCACTGGCCTGATTCCACAGTGCCCTCTTGTGGTACAGCAGGGAGCTGGTCTCTCCATTAATTTAAATATACCATGATAATTTTTCCATACATTTGTGAGAAAAAAATAATTAAACTCTTTGGAATCATCTGTGTTCCTGGATGAATTCCTCCTAAAAATAGATACACAAAATTTGATTAAACATATAACACACAAAAAATTGTACTTTTTCTTGTCAATATTAAACACATTGTTTTTCACTGTCTATGCTGGACAAAGTATGTTATCCTCTAGGATAATTACCTCTATTAAAGATAATTTTTTGGAACACATTCTTAGGTTTCTTTTGCTCCAAAATCTACAACATCTACCATTACATTCTTTCCACTATGTATATCATTCCCTTCTCTTCAACTTCTCTTTTCTTGACTCCGCATCCATCAGTAAACTGGCTTCACATATGAAATCCACCACCTGTATATTAGATCCCATCCCTGTCCCTTTATTTTAGTCCTGTTTCACTTCTCTCTGCCCCATTGTCCTCAATATACATTGGTGTTGTACCTATGATCCTCAAAATTGCCTCCATTACTCCATGCCAAAAAAGCCTAACATGGCTCTGAACAATCTAAACAATTTTCACCCCATCTCCAACTTACCCTTTCTTGCAAAAATTCTAGAATGTGCTGTTACAATTCAGTTAAATAAACACTTAATTGCAAATAACCTTTTGAACCCATTTAATCTGGCTTCTGGAAACTTCACAGCACAGAAACTGCCCTGGTCAGAGTCACTAATGATCTTTTAATAGCTTCTGATTCTGGTTCTCTTTCTATCCTCGTTCTTCTTGATCTCAGTGCTGCTTTCAACACTGTTAACCATGATATCTTACTTTCTCATCTTGAGACTGTGTTTGGAATTTCTGACACTGCTCTCAAATGGTTCAGGTCTAACCTCACTAATCACTGTCACTTTGTCTCTCTTGGTGGATTTAGGTCTGAAATTGGAATTGTTAAGTCTGGTGTTCCTCAGGGCACGATACTGGTCTCCTTACTTTTCAGCATTTACATGTTTCCACTTGGTCAGCTTTTAAGATCACATGGCTTCAACTATAATTTCTATGCTAACAATACTCAAATCTACATCCATACCAAACCTGACACTGGGATGTGACTGTCTCTACCCTATCTCATTGCATCTCTGACAAAAAAACATGGATGATACAAACTTTCCTTCATCTAAACTGTGACAAAACTGAAGTCATGCTTATTAGTATCCCCCTTCAGTTTAGTAAAGCCAATGTTGTAACCCTATCTGTGGATGGTACCTTACTTGAGCTTCAGTCTAAATTTAAAAACCTGGGGGTTATATTTGATTTAGGCTTTGACATTCGACCCACATGTGCAGCATATTGTCAAAACATCTTTCTTTCACCTCAGAAATATCGATAGACTACCTCCTGTGTTATCACTAATTGTGTCTGAAAAGCTGATAAACACATTTGTCTTCTCCCAAATCGACTACTGTAACTGTACTCACTGGGGTTTCTAAATCCACATTGAATAAACACCAGTATGTCTACAGTTCATCAGCCAGAATCCTGAGCAGGTCTAGTACAAGCGATCACATTACTCCTATCCTGGAGTCCTTGCGCTGGCTTACTGTCAAGTTTTGTGTTGAAAATCCTCATGGTCACCTATAAGGCTCTGCATGGCTTGGCACCTCAGTACCTGTCTGAGCTATTATCGCCCTACTTCCCATGTCGCAGCCTTCACTCTTCTTATTCTGGTCTCCTATCTGTCCCCCAAGCCTGTCTACACTAAATGGGTGACAGAGCCATCTACTGTCATGCCACAAAGATCTGGAACTATCCCCAATGATATCAGAGAGTCACCTTCTCTAAACTCCTTCAAATCCAAACTCAAACCCTTCTTCTTTAGAAGAGCCTTTACTTAACTGGCTCTGTTATTTACCCCTTTGCTCCTACTGTATTTAGTAACACCATCTACTGTGTCCTCTATCTGTATTCTCATTGTGTGTATCTTGTGTATTCTTTTTACTGTTGTTGTACAATATTGTTGTTGTATTTTATAAAGGTGTAATATGAAATAAAGTTTATTTTTATTATAAAATTTCACATTGAATATACACTTTGCAGGTTTTGCTGATATTGATCCTCTGTCATACCGTATTTAGTAGTGTTCAGTTTGATCATTCCAGTTTTGAATAAAGTCTTTATGAAAACATACATTACTATCAATGTAATCTTTTTGGCAGGGGGTAAATTCAATAGAATTCTATTAATTCAATAAATTCTATGTCAATAGATTCACATTAGAAACTGCAATCATTTTAAACTGTTACTGACCAAGATGGTGAACCTAAGACTGAATTGTCCTCACATGGTGTAGTGAACATCTTAAAACAATAAGGCACTTCTGATAAAGGTGAAGAGGCAAGAAATTAAATATTACTTTTTTAACACTGGCATATCAAATATTGTTGATATTTGTTTTGTTGTTTTACAGGCTGAAATGGTGAATGCTGCTTTCCAAGTGCAAAGAAGCTTTCTGAAACTGGCCAGTTTACACCAGCAGCCACCTGAGGTTGGTTGTACCATTTCCCTTATTAATATATTACTAAAAATGAGATGAATATGTTCAGGAAGAAGCTAATCAGTTTCGGAATCTTAGCGTTACAAGATTTAGTAGTTTGTTGCACAACCCCACTGTTGTTTGTGTCAAATGATATTTCTCACAATTTCGGTCTTAAATTAGTCTCCTCTCGATGATCACATTTGCAAAATGGTCATTGTTTCAATCACACCAAGTACTATTTAATAAAATTTGAATTTGAGTTATTGAATAGGTAAAAAAATCAGTACAATTAATTGTTCAGTACAATGTGTTATTTGTGTTGGTATTTTGTGCTCTTTTAGTTTCTCCATGTTGTTTGTATTAACCTCATCATCCATGTTACAGAGTCTGCGCTGATAAGTTCTTTATTGACTGGGTGGAGCTTTAAGTTTAAAAGAATATTCTGCTGTGAGAATTGGAGCTGGTGATGGAATTGTAGTCAGCAAAGTGTGAATGGGCTACA